GGGGGAAATAGTAGGATGATGTCTAGAAAGGGTCAGTGTCGAGATTCCCAGGGAGAGGACATTATTTATTTTATTTATTTATTTTATTAGATTTATACCCCGCCAATCTAGACATGGGTCCTATTATCTCTTTAGAGATTCCTCCCACCCATTAGCTACTTTTTTGGGGGGGTGAAGAAGGAGGGTGGGATCCCTGACGGTGAGGATCCCCTCTGGTTAAACTGGGAGGGGGGTCATGGGACTGGGAGCAGGAAGGCTCCCTTCCTTGCTGCCTGAAACCCTTTCCTAGGATTTTGGAACGGATTCCTTTTTATAGGCCAGCCAAAAAAGGAAGAAAAAAAGGACATGAGGAGGGCGGATTGCGGAAGGACGAAAGGGATTTCATGAAGATCTGTCCTGTCCCCCCCTCCCCCAAATCTGATACTTTCGAGGATCGGGGAGGGTAAGAGTTGTGTAGAGGGAAGGGGGTAGGGAGATTGCAAGAGTGGAAATTTTGGAAACCCCCCACCCAAGATCAGGAGTCCTGCAGTCAGCAGGGATTTGGGGAGATATGGTCCAAAGTGGGGGTGGGGCTGAGGTGTGGGCTGGTGAGGTTTAAGGGAGGTCTCCAAGGAGAGATCAGGAGGAGGAGAAGATGATGATGATGAGGTGGCCCATCGGGCTGGCTAGCAGGAGAGGTTCTACAGGTATGGCCTGTGACATCATTATGGGCGGGGTGGCCGAATATATGGGTTCCCGGCTGTGGCTGGACTGCGAATCTACAGCAGTCGCCACCTCTCAGAACTGGTTTTGCAGAGTTTAGAACTGCAGGATAAAATTTGAAAAAATGGGAAGAGATTGGAGAGCTCCTTGGTTTAGGGCTCTGGAGCCAGAGGTTGGGAGTTCGATTCCCCCTTTGTGCCTCCTTGATAGCGGCTGGACTCCACGATCCATGAGGGTCCCTTCCAGTGCTGCAGTTCCAAGATGTTGATGATGGTGATCCGTAAGGACTAATTGTACCTGGGAGAGCCGTGTCACCCATCCTGGTTGAGATGATGAACCAGAGAGCACATCCTTTCTCTCTTTTCTCTGCCCCACCTTGTCTGGCTGGCTGTCACTTCTAGACACACGGGACGGTGTTGAGGATGGAGAGAAACGATCATGGAAGGGCAGCGCCCCAGGGCTTTCCGCCTCCTGCCTGTTCTCTGGGCAGCCATGCTACCAGCTGAATGCCCACTTTTGCAGCCAGGATGAGATTCCATACACAAAGACAACCCTGCAAAGGGTGGGGGGGGAGAAGACACAAATCAGTGCTTTTTTTTACTTTTGGTCTTCCAGCTGTTTTAGACTTCAGCTCCAGAATCCTTTATCCTTGGGCAGGTTGACTGAGGCTTCCTGGCTGAGACAGCGGGAGGGTCTAAGGTTGGAAGCCATTGTCTTATACAGGATTTTATAAGCAAATGGGAATCTTGATGCAGTAAATAGCAGTTCATAATCAATATTAAATGTGCCCACTTGTCTATTGCAGATGAATTTTTTTGAGAGGAGACTATCGAAGTAGAAGTGGCATGAGGACTTTTAGGAAAGGACTCCCTTTGCCAACTTTCTGATTTTATTTTATTTTATTTTTATCAACTTCTCCTTGTTCTGATTAAAGTCAGAAACCTGTGGAAATCTACCACAAATTATCCAGGGATTGGCTACTAGGTCCTGGTGTCTTTGATTTATTGGCTGCCAGCCTTGGGTCGCCATATGTTCTAGAACTGAATCTCCCAGAAGCCTCCACCACTCGCTGTGCTGGCCGGGATTTCTGGGAGTTGCAGTCCAAGACAACATCTGGAGACCCAAGGTTGGGCAGCGGTGCTTTAATTAGGTGATGTGAGTGCCTTAGTGGAAAGTAAGTGGTGTTCTTTCCACAGGTACCAAATGCATCCTCCGCCTTGTATATACTTTTCAGATCTGGGTCAGGGGCTTTTCTCCTCCCATGTTCCTAACTGTATCGCCCTTTGCATTCTCAGGATGCCCTCTCATGCCGAATTAATGGCAAAGGAGACGAGTCTAGCAAAAGCATCCGAAATGGGTGCCTTGGGCGTGGATGGCCTGGTTCTGAAATGCCCTTGCTCCGGATGGGATCCGTCCCATGTTCTCCATAAAAACGGCACTCTGAATAAAAAGAAAAGCCGGAAGCACCAGCGTTTTACGGCACGCCGGGCCCTGGAGCAGAAAAATCAGCTGAACCACCGTCCAGGAGAGAAGATCCTGATGAACATGGAAGGTGCCTCTAAAGTGAGCCGAATCCAGGGCTCCGTGCAGTGGAAGGGAACTCAGAATCGTCAGCCTCTCGAGGAGGGTTCAAGGAAGGCTCCGAAGAAGCTTGACACCCAGTCTCCAGCGCCACCGGTCCTTTCAGGGGAACCAGCCCAAGATGCTGCGTCTTTGCAAGATTTCCAGGATCGGGTGGCCTCGCCCGGCCGCTCTGCGACAGGTTTGGGCCCCTCGTCTTGCCCAACAAGGTTGAGAAAACCTAAGAAATGTGTGGCCATTGACTGTGAAATGGTCGGTACGGGTCCTTCCGGGAGAACAAGCGAATTAGCCCGGTGCACGGTGGTGAATTACGACGGGGATGTGATCTATGACAAATATGTCCTTCCGGAGCTTCCGGTGGTAGATTACCGGACTCGGTGGAGCGGGATCACCCGGCGGGACTTGCAAACGGCCTGTCCTTTCAGGGTGGCCCAAGGCGAGGTGAGCAGAAGCAGTGTGGCTGAGAACGAATCTCTGTATGTATAACCAGAGATCAGCGTGTTGTAGGAAGGGGTGACCGGAGATATTTGCCATCAGGGAAAAAAGATGGGAGCGAAATCTTTAAGTTACTATGAATGTTATTCCTTTATTGGGCCAAGGGGGAGGGCTAAAAATGGCAGACGGGGAGAGAAGATTCCTGAATACAAGCCCTCCCTTCTGCAACATTTCGTTGCAGGTTCCTCTTGTTTTTCTGAAAAACAATATGTAGAGTTCTGGTGCTGTTCAGCCGTTTAAGCATCTCCTCTCAGGCAGTCTTGTTACACAAGCATTTTTTTGGTCCTTTCAGATTCTACAGATCCTAAGAGACAAAATTGTGGTGGGACACGCCATCCACAATGACTTCCGAGCCTTAAGATATTTCCACCCTCGACCTTGGACCCGCGACACAAGCCAGTGTCCCCTGCTGAGTCAGAAGATGGGGCTCAAGGTGAAAGACAGTGTCTCCCTCAAGAACTTGGCTAGTCAGCTGCTGAAGAAAAAGATACAGGTGACTTTTTCTTGACCGGTCTTGCCGTCTTAGGCCTTTCCAAGAGGATTCAGAAACAAAGGCTTGGAGGTCCTTGCGAAGACAGGAGTAGAGAATAGAGAGGGTTTTGTTGGTCTTTAGGGCCTGGTTACACCAGCTGGCATGGCTAGCGGCAGAAGGTTGTGGGGGCCACCGGCAAGATGCCTGGAGGGCTGTAGCATCCCCATAAACTGCACCACACTTTCAAATGATATACTTTCATCTAGGCATGTTGCAAAGATAACTGTATATATCTGTATATGGTTTTCTGCTGTGAACATAACGGTGCAGATTTATATCTTGGTGAGCTGTCTCTGGATCATTTCACTGGGGTGTGTGGAATACGCCATCAGATTGATTTCAGATCATGGTGATCCCGTTAGGGTTTCCAAGGGCTGTGAAATATTTAAGGACTAGGTCTGCCAGCATCATGGACCATAGCTGAACCCAGGATCTTACAGTGGACCCTCGATTTATGGAATTAAGTCGTATTGGAACGGTGGCTGCAGGTCAAAAAGTCTGTAGGTTGAGTCTCCATTGACCTACAATGCATTGAAAACCGATTAATCCCGTAACCGGCCGTTTTTGTTCTGTTTTTGTTCCATTTTGTGTTTTTTCTGGTCTGTAGGTCGATTCTCTGGCTGCAAGTCGAACCTAAATTTTGTGGCCAGAGAAGTCTGTAACTCGAAAAGTCTGTAAGTCGAGCCGTCAGTAAGTCGAGGGTCCACTGTAGATGGAAAGTATAGTCAAAAGTAATAGAATGTAGAACTAGGAGACTTGAGTTCAAATTTCTATTCGGCCATGGAAACGTCTAGGGAGAACAGCAATGATAAACCACTCCTTGAATATCTCATGTGCTGCAGAAACCCTACAAAGGTCACCATGAGTCTGAAGCACATGGTATATCTTGAGGACTAGAATCTTGCACTCAATTTGTTCTTCCCTTCTCTTTTTTCAGGTTAGCAAGCATGGTCATTCATCCGTCGAAGACGCTCAGACTTCTATGGAGCTTTACAGGTTGGTGGAGGTACCGTGGGAAGAGATGTTGGCTTCCAGCCTCTCCTCCTACCCTCCAGACAGTGACACCGATAGTGACTGTTATATGGACGATCAGTACTGGCCCGAGGACCTTGACATAGATTGCAAATAAAGATCCATGCTCGGCTCTGGACAGTTTTGTAGAGTCGTTATTGTTTTTACTGTTGACAAAAACGGTATCAAGCAGCAAGGTTCATGCATCTAGGCCTTGCAGAGCAGCTTGTATTTATTTCTCACTCGCCAGAATGCACAACCCAAATGGAACGCAGAGCTCATGATGCCAGGGAGACTTATTCATTTGGCCCTAAGAGTCCCACCAAAGAGCCCTTGATTTGGAAATAACCGCCAAAAACTTACTGCCATTTTACACTGGTGCGGCGCAAGCAACTTTCATGTTGACAGCCAGTTGCGGGAATCGTCAAGCGTTTGGGTTAAGCTCATAGGTATCGCTAATAGGATTTGGGCCAATGATGAGAAAACAGATATTCTGTAAAAATAAGAAACAGCCTGTGTTGCTCCTTCACGTAGTTTTGTTCCTGGGAGAACAGGTTGGCAATGAAGGCCTTCTGGAAGGTATGGACCCATTAAATCTTTTTTTAATTCTGAAATTGTCTCCTTTTCTCCCGGGACGAGTGTCCTCACAGAGCCAGGAGGAAGCTATAAGGATGGGAGAACTGGTCTGGTTTCCTGAGCCTTCAATAATTATCATTTCAGATACTACAGAGCAGGAAGAGGGGATTCCCTGGTATCTGTTTATTTGCTGATTGATTGATTGATTGCATAATGACAACAACCTTGCTAGGAAGGTCGAGGTGAAGGAGAGTGAGCCTCCAGATGTTCTTGGACTTCAACTCCCAGAAATCCTGGCCAGCAGAGGTGCTTGTGAAGGCTTCTGGGAGTTGTAGTCCAAGAACATCTGGAGGCTCAAGGTTGGGGGACCACTGCTATAGGTCATCAAGTCCAGCTCCTCTCAAAGAGACCCCAGGGGAAATGGAACTGCCAACCTCTGGTTCCGCAGCCAGAAACCTAACTCGAGGTTCTGACTGTCCCATAGTTTGGAAAAGTTGCATTTTTGAACCGAATCCCATAGCCAGCCTGAGCGCGGGTCATCCTAAGTGAGTGATTCTCCAAGATGCAGTCCCGGAAGACAACTTTCCCAAACTCTTGCTGGGGTCTCGCCTTCCCAGTATGGAAGCTGGACCATCTTCTCTGGTTACCAGGTTACTGCTGTCAGCCCTAGTAAAACCAGTGGCTAGGAGTGGAAGTTAAAGCTCAGCTGAAAAGTCACGGGTAGCTTACCCCAGGGTGACCCTCGCACCATCCAAAGAGCCTGATGATGCCTGGGACGTCTATAAATCTTCAACCACTTCACAGTTCGTTCTGCTGATCAGTACCAGAACGTTTGCGGTGGTTCTTTCCACTGTTGCTTTTTGCTAGTTTTTTTTCCCTCCTGTAGCAGGAGAAGACTGGCTATTTGTTTTGCTTGCTTTGGGCAGAAACGGGAGAGGTCCCTGCTTGTATCTCCTCCAGAAGATCCTGGCTTCAGAACAAGTTCATACCTTCCCGTGACCTCTCCTTTGTTCCTTGAGCTTTTGAGACTTAAGATCCGATGACCCCACCCTACCCCGCTCAGCTGTGCCTCCAGATGATCCATATCCGTGGAGCGAACCTGTTATTGGGCCTCCTGCGCCCTATAACAGGCAGCGGCTCGCTTTTTAATGTTTCTGCCAGCTGGCTGGACTTGACAGGCGATGCACCTGGCTTCCCATCACACGGCCGTTGAGATGAGCAGCCGTCAGCCCTTTTCCTGGCAGAGCATAGAGACCATGTGGGATGCTTGAGATACAAGCAGAGTGCAGAGCCCCTGGCTTTCTGCCGATGAGCTGCCCCGAAGGACCAGGGAGGGTGCGGGCCTTTTCCACTGCCTTTTTTCAGTCTCTGAGAGACCTTATTCCTTGGACAGATGCTGGAGACTAGTTATTGGTCAAGAGTGACGCAAAGTCGTTCCAGCTAATCTCAGGTTCCTGATATAATAGCACTGTCTTGTTTTCGGTGGTGCTGGAGGAGAGCTTTGTGGATGGATACCCTCGGCTGCCAGAAAGACAAGTGGATCCTAGATCAAAATCAAGCCTGGATGATCTCCAGAGACAAAAAGGCTGACAAGTGGATCCTAGATCAAATCAAGCCTGGATGATCTGGCCTACTTTAGGTACATCATGAGAAGGCAGGATTCTCTAGAAAAGACAATAATGCTAGGAAAAGAGGAAGGCAGTAGGAAAAGCGGAAGACCCAGTATGAGATGGGGAGGAAGACCCAATACAAGATGGGCTGACTCCCTAAAGTAATGGTTCCCAGCCTCGGGTCCCCAGATATTCTTGAACTACAACTCCCAGAAATCCTGGCCAGCACAGTTAGTAGTGAAGGCTTTTGGGAGTTATAGTCCAAGACTATCTGGGGATCTGAGGCTGGGAACCACTGCCCTAAAGGAAGCTGCAGGTGTAGGTGTACAAGAACTAAGCAGAGTTATTGAGGACGACATTTTGGAGACTCCTTATTCATGGGGTCGCCAACATGTGGGGACGACTTGACAGCACACAACAAGAACAGACGGTAGGGCCCAAACCCACAGAATCAAGTTACAAAATAGGAGATTCCACCTGAACCTTAAAAGGAAGAATTTCTTGAAAGTAGGAGCTGTTTGATATGGAATGAACAACCTCAAGGAGGTGGGTTCCCCTGAATTGAAGGTTTTCAAACAAAGGTTGAGAGAAAGGCTGCTGATGGGAAAGGATGCCTTTGAAAAAAAAGTACATAAATTGACTTAATGCCTTCAAGGTGAAACAGTGTACTCTGTGCTCAACCGGGCTTGCGGCCTTCCATACCCTGAAAACAAACGAGAGAGAAAAAATTGTGTGTCTAACAAGGTAGCCCCAGCTGTTTGATCTGCAGCACTGGCATTTTTAAAAAATGTATTTTTAGAAACAGCTGGAAGACTTATTCTCTCCCATCAAATTATCTTCCACCACCACCACCACACACACACTCGATATGGAATTCCTTGGAGCAAAACTCTCTTTGAGGATCAAGGAAAGCCACGCAGAGATGACGCTTTAAAATGTCAGCCAAAAAAACACATACAGCAAAACTCTCTTCGGGGATCAAGGAAGGCCGCGCAGAGATGACGCTTCAAAATGTCAGCCAAAAAAACACACACATAGATTAGCATTCTAAAGATATGACTCACATCACAATTAGCTTTCCAGTAGAGAGAGAAAAAAACATGCCTCCTGTAGCTTGCAAAACCTTCAAATAAATACATATACTGTATATTGTTTTAATTTTGACAGCCAGGGGTGGTTTAATTCAAGAACTTTGGAGAAAAATGACCAAAACCTTGGTCAGGAGGATTTCAGCAATCATGACAGGTGCCAAAATATCATTTTAAAATACTTTTGAAAAGGAACTGGTTCTGTTGCTCATTGCTTGCTGGCAGCCAGGTTGCATACCTATTATCATTATTCCGAGTGCACAAGCGTTTCTGTGTGTTACACATTAGCACTGTCAGGAAATTGAGGGGGAAGCTCTCTGATTCCCCCTAGTGGCTAATTTTGACATCACAGCTTGGCAATGTTTGTAAAAATAGAGTAAACAAAGCCTAAGTGTATGGTCGAGGTGCTGTCAAATGCCAGATTTAAAATACCAGAGACTGAGAAATACTGCATGCTGCCGCATGTCTTCCACCACATCTTCTGTGCTGCTGTTACCAGATGGTGTCGGGTTGTATGAAACTTCTCTTAAGTCCCAGCATTATCCTGGAATGATAAGATTTCAAGGGCATTGGCAGAAATTAAAACAACTCCTTGCCAACTAAAACTATTACTGAAGGCTCATCCATTTTGAAAAGAGTCCACCCGTGGGTATTTTTGGAAGGAGAGTGGTAATTTGGACCCAGCCAGTCCTGCTTGGGGGGAGGGAGTTACTGATCCTCTAATTTGTCAAAACCAGAACAATAATTTAGATCTAAGCCAATGGTTTCTCAACTTTGGGACCAACTACCATGAAGGAAAAGCAGACACCACTTCTACCCGTCTCTTTCCCCCTTGTGGCCTTTTTTAAGCTCACATTTTATATGTAACTATAGCAAATAATTCTCTTTCCTTCCATTCCTCTTTTACGCCGAGCCAAACAGATGGAATAGTCTTCTGCTTCTTTACTCTTGCTTCCCTTAAGTTTGCAAACTCAAGATCTAACAAGTGCATTACTGTTGCAGCGCATTGGCACGCGGGCACGGCCGTGGATTCAACCCAAAACAGGATTTTTCCGGGGGTGTACTCAACAAGGCTTGGCTAAATGAACAGCCAGCAGTCGGAGGTGCAGAGAGAGATGCCCCTCTGGGATCAGGGGTGACCTACTTCCTGTAAAGGAGGGAACAGAGGGACAATTCAATCCCGCCGGTTTGGTTTCAATGTTTGTATGCCTTGACATTTGGAACCAGGCTGCTGGTTTTTCTCTTGGCTTTGTGGCTTTATGTTTTGCGTTTTGTTAAGTTGGGCACCATACGGAGAACTCTGTCTATAAGTTTTGCACCAAGGTAACTAACTGCAAGATAGCTCAGTGGGTTGTCCAATGTTCTCTTGACGGCCTCCAGCATTGTAGCGCTCACTACCTCCCAAGATCAGCGGTTCCATTGTCATACTGCTCTAACAGTTAAGAAGTTTTTTCCTGATAGTCAACTGGAATGTGGCTTCCTGTACCTCGAGTTCATTATTACATGTCCTGTAGTCTGGAATGACTAAGGTCTTGCCCGTCCTCTAGATAACATGTCAAGTATTTGAATAGAGCATCATCAAGTCTCGAATAGCAAAATATTCCATGTCTTGGGTTCAGTTCCAGGTATTTCCAGATACAACTGGTCAAGATAGCTCCCCCAAACCCTGGACAACACAACCAGTATACACTCACACTAGGGAACCAGTGGCTTTCCAACAGTTTCTTGGACCTTAGTTCCTATTCTTTGCTGGTGGCACGGTGAAAGCTTAAGAAGTTTTTTCCTGATAGTCAACTGGAATGTGGCTTCCTGTACCTCGAGTTCATTATTACATGTCCTGTAGTCTGGAATGACTAAGGTCTTGC